GGACCCGTTGCGATGGCATGCCTGGATGAAGCTGAGGAAGAGAGGGTATAACATGGAGCTTTTCGATGGGAAACCGGACTCGTACCTCCTGCAGACTCTCGCCCTATCCGACCAGACACGTTTCCCTCGGAAGTCACTCCCGCGTCGGCTCACCCTCCGCAGGGTAGTCCGATGCAGGAGGACTAGGGACGCCCGGGACGCAGGCGTCTTCCCCAGGGTGTGGTAGCATACCTTCACCCTGACCACTGGGGAAGACCCACCGTGAAGGCAGGGATCGGAGATCCCGGGAATAGAATCCCTGCAACCTTGCTTGTAGACACTGGCGCAGCCACTAATGTCTTTTGTTAGGTGTGGTTCCCTCTATCCCGCTCATGATCTCGCCAGACTCGGGACGACAGGAACGATGAGAGTTCTAACAATATGTTGGGATCCCAAGCATCGAGAATAAATCCACGTTTTAAACAGCAAGATTTTATTTCAAAGCATTGGAAAGATACTCAAACACGTTCTTTGTTAGAACTGACTACAAACGGTTAGGGCAAGCATAATAAAGGTGCGTACCGCTGAGGTGTGGAGGCAGGTTCCAATCGCCATAGGAACCTTTTCCACTACGGTATCAGCCTGCACTAATCAGGGAGAGGATGATGGTATCCTGGGGGCACCCTTTTTCAAGGCACACGCCCTGACCATTGATCTTGCCAATGGCTTTTTGTGGCAGATTCCGGACGGTCCTGCCGAGATCAATGCCTCTCAGCGCTGTGCTGTGAGCAACTGTACAAAGATACAAGTAACACAGAACACCATGGCAGCTTGCTGACATATTCCCACCTCCAGACAATCCTTTATTAGATCTGTCCAGAGATGGCCAAGGGGGAAGGGCCAGGCCACTCCTAAGATAGTCTGGAAGAAGCAGTTGGCAAGAGAAAGAGTAGAAACAGGGTAAAAGGGACCCCCCCCTCCAGCTCTTCTCAGACGTCTCAGGCAGTGGGGGAATTTTACAGGTATAGCTTGGGAAGAAATTTCTGTAATGACCAGGAATTGATACCAAACGTTGTAAAAAGAATTTGCCTCTCCTTGTCACAGTTTCTAGCAGTGCTCCCTCAAAGCTGAGTTAGTGTGAGCTAGCTCACAGATTTTAGTCTCTGGCTCACAGATTTTTGCCTTCGCTCAGGAAGGATGGCTTCAGAGCAAACTAATGTATGTAGTAGCCAAATCACTCACTCACAACTTTAATGCCAGTAGCTCACAAAGCAGAATTTTTGCTCACAAGACTCCATAGCTTAGAGGGAGCATTGGTTTCTAGTAAGCGTGCCATGTTAATAGTAGTGATATTGTTGTAAATTTCCATCTTGACTAATGCTCTGACAAATACCAAAAGGATTAAAGTAAGTTCCTTATGAAATAGATGAGTGATTAACAAAAAAAATGGTTATAATTTTAACAAGACTTTGCAGATAACTCAAGATGTTTAGGGAAACCCTCAGATTACTTGGCTTTCTGAAAAAAATTGAGGCAACTATAAGAGCATTATAATTCAGTATGTCAATGTGACCTGCTCAGTGTTCCCAGATGTACAACATTTATTAGATGGATGCCCTTTATTACTGAGTATTCATCTGTTTTATCTGAGATGTTGCTGTGGACGGCTGATTGGAGACCATCCTGGGATAGATTATAGTTGGCTTGCCTGCCAGTCTGTGAAGGAGAAAGAGGAATGGTCTGTTCAAAAGCACACAGAGGCAAGCCCAACTGATGCCTTTGGTACTATCAGTTTCCAAGATGGCGATCATACATACCATGCCAAGGTTTGTATAAATTTTAAATGAGGTTTTAATGGTTATTGCATAACTTGACCAATTCAGTGACAATGGCATCAGGAGAAGACATGTATATGTGAGACTGATCAAGCCCTATTGATGGAGTATTCCTTCTAATTCACCAAATCTCACTTTGCCATTGACAAGTTTACTTCTGTCATATGTAGTTAAGTGGTTATTGTAACCATGGACTTTGGAAACTGGTAATTTTATGCAAATAGAAAATTTTGATGGCAACTGTTAAAGGCTGCAGTGTTCTGGATGCAGACATGATGATTCTTACTTTTGTACAGATGTTAAGGAATTTGCTACAAGAATTATTAAAACTAATGATGGACTGATTAGAGAATAACTATGTTATTCCTCTGGGAAACTACTGAAATAATCTCTCCTTCCATGTATGTTCTAAAAAATGCTGCTGTATTTTTTTCAGTATATCAGAACTACTTATGACACCAAGCTGGATCAGTTGCTGCAACTGATGGTGAAAGAATGGCAGATGGAACTACCAAAACTGGTAATTTCTGTTCATGGTGGTAACCAAAACTTCAAGCTTCCATCTAAGCTTAAGCAGCTTTTCAGCAAAGGCTTGGTCAAAGCTGCTGAGACTACAGGGGCATGGATATTAACAGAAGGCATCAATACTGGTACAGTATTTTTAATGTACTATTTGTTCATTCTATGTGGCTAGCAGCATGTTACAATGTGTTGACAGTGTACGTTAGTTATTATATTTATACATATGAAAGGCTAGTTGACCATTCTGTCTCTTGATCACTCTGAATAGTCAGTGTGTGCACGCACCTTCTAGATGTGCATGTACCAAAATATTCTGACCAGGGGATACTGCCATCACACTGCCTCTCGTAATGAATCCCTGGATCCCACCCCTTTGTATAAATAGAGGCAATTCCACAGAGCCAGAGGAAGATTTCTCTGCTGAAACCTTGGTCTGCTCTAATCGCATAAAAATAAGGGGAGAGTCCAGATTTGATATCAAAATAGGTGTGTGGTGGGGAGACTTGGATTGTGTCTACACTGCTGCTTCCATGTTCTCCTTTCAAATGATTTTATCTCAGCGAAGCTCACTTCCAGTAATAAATGGCACTTGACAGAGGAAAAGTTCACCAATGAGTAAGAATTACATTGAGAACTCCCATTACTTGTAATTTCCCCAATGGGGTAGCAGCTATATGGGGCTGTTTCAGGCTAGGAATATCGTGTGGAGGAAGCCCCTCCATGTGCCATGGTCCTAGCCCAGATTGGGCACATAAATGCCTGGGCATCTTGTTCTGAGCATGGATCTCCCAGACCATGTCTATTGATGTGGAGAACATGAGGACTTTATAATGTGTATCTTCCCTTTTGAAATAAGATGCCATGGCAAAATGACAGTTGTGTTATAATAATAATTTGTTTAGGAGTGTCCAAGCATGTGGGTGATGCACTGAAGGTTCATGCTTCTCAGCATTTAAGAAAGATCTGGGCTGTTGGAATCCCTCCCTGGGGTATCATTGAGAACCAAAAGGACCTCATTGGGAAAAATGTGAGTTGATTAATGCTCTTTGTTGTTTTTATTTTGAAAAGACCTTCACCCCAATCCAGCATTCAGTTCGCATAGGACAAGTTTTCATGAAGGAAACAAATTCTCTGCTTGTACATGAAAATGTATATTAAGCAAACTGAACTGGAAGCCCCTCCCCAGCCAATAAAATCTCCATTTCAGTTAAGCTTCTCATTATATAGAAGTTCTACTGAGTGCAAAAGTACCACTATAAAACAGAGAACATTATAAATGTATGACTCACAGTGAGTGGATGTGCAATATATTATGCTATGTATGGAAGAGGGTCTCTATTTTCCTCATTTTGAACATGTAAAGCCATCCTGATAAGAGTACCAGAGTGGTGGTTTGTTTTTGTTTTGGAAGGACCACTTTTGCTTTTAATTCTCTTTAGGTAGTCTGCCTGTATCAGACTTTGAGCAATCCACTCAGTAAGCTGAGCACCCTCAATAGTATGCATTCACATTTCATACTGGCTGATGATGGGACAGTGGGCAAGTATGGTAATGAGATGAAACTCAGGAGGAATCTGGAGAAATACCTTTCTCTTCAGAAAATCCATACTAGTAAGTAATCCTCATTTTTCATCAATTCCATAATTAACCTCACAGATACTTCTCTGAGAAATAATGTTTGTTGTTTCCAAGCATTAATGTTAATAAGAAACTAGAGGGTTCATGGGGTCGCGAAGAGTCAGACTCGACTGCAACTGAACAACAACGAAGAGGGAACATGCCCTCTGCATGGACAGATATTTTTCATATAGCAGATCAGTAAATGGGGCATACCTGCAATGCAGAGCTCTCCAGCATTTCGGCCACCTGCTTTTCCAAGTGATCCCTATCCTGTCACCTGTGTATGGAACCAATCCACCATGAAATTGGCTCTAAAGTTTTCTCTGTTCATTTCAGAGGGAGGTGGGCCAATTTTAATTTGGTGAAATGGAAGTCTCCCTTAAGAGCCTACGAAGAGTGCAGTGGAGCAATGTGTTTGCTTCTTTCTTATCTGCATAGCTGGTGGCAACCCTTTCTGTAACTAGTAATGAAACATCAATTGTCACAAAGTCTCATTATGATTTTCACTGGTTAAGTAACAGATGAAAACTTTAGGTTAAATATGTCTGTTTATTTTTTGTTTTGCATTGCAACAAAGACCAAAAGAGCCCGCAAAATGTATTTAGTTCTATGAAAACAGTATTATTCTTGATGTTTTTGTTGTTTAAATCTTTTTAAAGAATAGATTAGATTTGTTCTAAAACTACTTTGGCTTACCTCTATCAATAAGCAGCCTTATTGAAGATCTTCATGGCACACATCTTTTGTTGTTGCAATATCCCTATCAGAAAACATATCCTATTCAGAATCAGTGTGTGATGGTGGGAAGATCAGAATTGCACTTGCTGGTCCTGCCCTTGACATGTGTATTCATATAACTTCTGAACAGAGCAGACAGGTGTAGAACCCATATGCACCTAGACTTTGTCCATTTCCAAAGGTCAGCTTATATGCCTGTGTTCAGAAATTATGATGAACACATGGAAATAAAAAAATGAGGCTAGCAGGCATGACTCTTCTCCCCCACATGACCCTCTGTAAAAAGGTAAAGGTTCCCTTGCTCGAAAGCCAGTCGAATCCGACTCTAGGGTTGCGGTGCTCATCTTCGTTTCAAAGCCGAAGAGCCAGCGCTGTCCGAAGACATTTCCGTGGTCATGTGACCGGCATGACTAAACACCAAGGTGCACAGAATGCTGTTACCTTCCCACTGAAGTGGTACCTATTTATCTACTTGCAATTTCTTGCTTTCGAACTGCTAGGTTGGCAGGAGCTGGAACTAGAGACGGGAGCTCACTCCGTCATGCGGCACCCGGGTCTCGAACTGCTGAACTACCGACCTTCCACAGCCTGCAGTCAGTTTCACTATTGTGATTCCTGTTTTAGCTAGCATTTTATATCATTATTTTCATCCACAATATTTGATTTTTGTTGCAAGTCTTAAGAATATTCAGTTTTTTCTTACTGGAAAAAGTTTTATCACAGAATTTTTCTCTTATTTTTTTCCCCCTTGATGGGAGCAACAGTGAACAGTGGTGTGGGTTTGAGGAAATATGCCTTGTATTGCTGGTGACTGTCTCTGCTTGTTTTGAAACAGGAATGGGACAAGGAGTGCCCTTAGTTGGGCTACTGGTGGAAGGTGGTCCAAATGAGATCCTGACAGTGTGGGAATATCTGAAGGAAAAACCTGCTGTCCCTGTAGTCGTGTGCGAGGGAACTGGAAGAGCTGCTGATCTCATTGCTTTCATGCACAAGCACACTGCTGATATGACGTGAGTACTTTCAAGTGCCAGCATCTGCAACAAAATGCCTTCAGGTATTTTTTTAAAAAGTAACACAGAGTAAATGGTGCCGTAACCAAGAAAACTTTCATTACAATTGTTTTTTCTTTAAGTAGTGTGATAAGTTTTCAGCTGTCAACTTTCAAGTTTTCATTTCTCCATTGTTTTCTTTACAGGCCCTTTTATGCTATATTGCTGTACCCCTTTATGATACTTCCCCAATATTTTTTGCAGAATGGCTTCACAGTTCCCATCTATTAGCTATACACTATGAACAGGTGCATGGGAAACCCAGGAAACTTTCATTGCTGCCATTCTGTTCCCTAGATACAGTTGCCAATCTCTAGGTGGTGGCTGGAGATCTCCTGAGATTACAACTGATCTCCAGATGACAGAGATCAGATCACCTGGTGAAAAGTATGCAGACGGAGAGTGATTTCAGCTAAGCATACCTTTATTAGGTTCAGGACAAAGACAACTGACCAGCTCGCAGGCCGGTTTATATGCGTTCAGAAAACCCGCCACCAAGTACCCATAACCACACCCCCTACTCCTAATAGGCTATTTACAGTAACCGGGTGACCATTGGTCTCCCGGCCGGAAAACTAGCCCTTTGATTGGGCCAGCTAGGATCCTTCGGATCCTTTGTCTTTCGACTCAAGCTACAGATGGTTTGTGCCTGGCCAGCCCGGGCAAGTCCGGGCATGTCAGGCTGAATACATTACACCCCTCCCCCCTTGGTTCGCAATGTACCCACAGACGAAGTCCTTCAGGTACGCAGGTGGCTTCCTGGGGCGCGTCGAGCGGCGAGGTTCCAGGGTGGCGATCGGTTCGGTCTCGGGGCCCATTGGAGCCGGTTGGACCGGACCCGGCGAAGGGTCGGCTGTGGAGGGAAAGGCTGGTTCCTCGTGGCGAGGGGCCTCGGTTTCCTGCCGGAATGGTGGCTGTGGGTCTGGTTCCGGAAGCGAGGCCGGTGGCGCCGGCTCCGGGCCCTCGTCCGGATCCTCGGGGTCCAGTTGTAGCGTGCGGTGGCGCAGCTGATCAATGTGCCGGTGGAGGATTTGGCCGTCCTTG